AACATGCTAGGAAAAGGAAACTGCTTGTATGAAAGAGAAAGAACAGCATCTACGGCAAAAGCTAAATTGAATACAGGGAAGGTTGTAGCAGGATTGGAGGGGACTGAATTTTTGCGTGTTTCCTCAACGTAGCCAAAAATGACTGTCGAGAAGTACTATGAGTAAATTATCCGAGTCAATATTGAAATTCAGGCAAAAAAGTACAAATTAATTCAGGTAAAAGGCATCGAATTTCATCATGTCAACGCATTACCACATGTAACTACGCAGACACAGCAAAATATGAAGAGTTAAAATGAGAAATTCTCCAGCACCTGGCGTATTTCCTTCACCTTGTCCCCTCAAAGTCACAACCATTCCACTCTCGGCAAAATAACTTGACTAGCAAAATATTTGATTTAACGGGATGAGTTAAAAACTACATTGCGACCTTCCTTGAATAATAACTGCACAGATTCTATAAACGATGAGTTCAAAATTTGCACAGCTTTGGGGGAGAGTTGCATGAAATGATGGAGAGTACATTAAACGTTAATAAACACTATTGTTTATGAAAGTGTGCTGTATTTAACTTTGTCATAAATTGGGCAAAAGCACTTTATCAGTCACCCGATATTACGCTTTTAATTACACAAGTAAACAAGCATGTGATTTACCCGGAGGAGATTACGAAGGTTTGTTGAGTAAATTCTGCCTTCGTAACCCCGAATGCACTTTCTATTATGTTGGCACGTCAGTATTATTTAGGGTTTGTTCAGGAGTGCTGTCATCAATGCTTGCAAAAATTACACTGTCTAGAGATGACATTTGGTAAATTGCAGGTCCCATTCGTTGAATCGAAAACCTGAACTTTACTATAAAGCACATAGGGGCTTTAAATTACACGTATGATCCCAAGTTTTCTGAGGAACTGACAGCATCGTTTCACAAACTTAAAATAACGCAATCAACGACACCATGGTATATTTTTTTACTTGGGCAAACGGTCACACTTTGAGTACTTTGCTGTTCAATCATCTACATAGAACCTGTTTGAGTATCTACTCCTCAAAAGTTTCCTTTGATAAATGCTGTCTCTGGTGTCCCTGAATTATCGCATCTACGGCAAATTAAAAGTTTTTTCTGATATGTAAATGATGATGTATTGACGGGGTTTAGATCAAACACCAACTCATCATGAGGTTGCAATCGCGGTACTAAAAGGTTCTGATTTTCTTCTGCCCGAAGTTATCTCAGTTGGTTATATCTAAAATACGACATCTTAAAAAATAGGCAGTACCAACAGCTAGGTGCTTGATAGTAAATGGTACGTCTTAGGAGACTGCGGTCCAATTTTCCAGGTCAGTTTGCGGAACCGAGGAGCTTAGTGTTGCTTTCATCTTTGCTGAAGGAAATTTCAACGTAATGGTGGCACAGCGTTCCCTGGTAGTTAAAACATGGTTAAAAATAATATTACTTTCATTAAATTAAATGTACCATCTTATCAAAAACATCTCAAAGTACTCCCTTTCACGAATTGTACCGTTGTGTTTGAAAGTAAAAAAAGAAAAAAATATGGAATGATAGTGATTCTAGAGATGCCTGGCAGACATTCTGCTATGGAATTAGTTGGATAAAAGTAAAGAAACGGAATTGGCAAATGCACACCTTTAATTAACTTGCTATTTCACGAACCAGAGACAGTTGTCACTTTACTCACAGAGGCTTCACCTTTCGTGGAGGCTGAATTGCTTTCTTTGTTCGCTGTTTTAACCACAGTGCCCAACCATTTGCATGTGTTACTATGATCCAGGGGATTTCACTAGTTCAAATAAGGAGATTTGGTATCTTTTTATTTTTGTTCAAAATCAACAGAATACAAATTGGATGAGATATTACATTTTCTCATAAATTTACATTCTATCGGAGTGTCTATTCTAAATGTTTCAGATAGTTCTGTTGCGAATTAATATTTCCGTTCCACATTAGACTTACACGATAGTTCCCATAGACAGTAGAAATGGCTTACGATTTTTTGATAAATTTCAAGTGTGTTTGATCTAGATTGACTGTAGGATACGTTTACTTTTGCAATTATTTAAACCAAAGGGATATTTCGATATCTGGTTTAATTGATAATTGTCCTGAAGAATGTGTGCATTAATAGAATGCCATCAGAAACAAGGGAAATTTATTGACATACAAGTGAATCATAAGTTTGAGGTGAAAAACTAATTTGGCATTCTGTGTTTCTGTGACATTAGAATTTAAAGAGCCGAGGTTATCACTTAGTTATTAGCCTAAGGCTACATATGGGATATAATTTTGCATTAGGTGATAATTTCTCATTGCCATATTTGTTTTCTTCTAGGAATGTTGGTTAAACCACTAATAATAGATCTCAGTGTGACGTCTGACACCAGAAACTAGGTTTATTGGTTAGGAAATACTACCTAGAAGACTACGATTTAATAATCAGAACACAAATAGATAAAATGGCGTGCCGTAACTGTACACATGCATCGTCCGCTTTGCTATTAATTTTGATGTCTCACATTTGGTCGAACTAATACCGATTAGCGGAGGAGTTCGTGCACAGTCGTCAGGACTCTTATGCCATTGATTTTGAAAAATTTACGTCGCACAGACCCTTAATCGATAGAAGTCGGCTGGTGTCACTCAATGCAATTACTAACTACAGAATTGTGTTATCGTGACAGTGCTCTTGAAAGACAAAAGTGCAGTGGTCAATACTTATGCAATTATACTGGCGAAGGGCCTTTTAAACATTGTGACTACATGGGTAATGGCCATTTGGTTGGTTTCGTCGCACAGAAAACTTAATCAAATACACCTTTCTCACTAATCTCATTATTATCAAGCCTGGATTTATATCTTAGTCTTAATTCAACATCACACCGCACTCTTTGAATTAAATGCAGTGTGTTGGAGGTAGAAAAATCGAAATATCACAAGTAGCATAAATCTTGATGGATGTGGGAATTTCCTATATGATCTATGATATAAGCCGAACTTCGTCGATATGGAAAGAAACGTAATACGTTACTTAGGCATAATTGCTCACCCAACATGTAGGTCTCAATTTGAAAACCTTGCAAAACATGGGTTGTCTGTCAAAACATATTTCACTAAACATCAGGAAATCAATCGGTAAAAGGGGATTTCCTTCTAGATCGATGTCTCGGGTCTCACTGAATTTGCGTGTACCACATTTCTGAATGGGACTCCAATGAAACTCCCTGAGATTAGTCGAAATGTACTTAGTTTTTTAGTCTGCCATTACATTTCTTCCTGCCCATCACTCCTCGGCTCAAGTTAAAACAGGCACGGTTTTAGGAATTGCAGACTGTATAAACACTGTCTTCCTTTTCACCACATCTTTCACACCTTTTTTGACGGGCCTGTTTTCGTTTTTACAGTGAGTTGGGCGACCCGGGATTTAAGCTGCTGCTTTTATTACGTGAGATTATAAAGACTATCACGACGCCAATAATCATGTTTCTTGAGTCGTTTTTACTATTTGGACTACGTATTCACCTCATGCAGCCGGAAATTATAAACCAGGCTTGTAACAGTCAGATTCCATGATACGTTCATAGATTGGCAAATGCGACTGTTTTCACATTGATGGACATGGTTATTAGTGGTTCACATCCACTTCGATAAACGGATCTAGTGAACAAAGGCTCTTACAGTCCAGATATCAGTACAATTTCGTGTACCAAAATATGAGGCGCGTTGTCCAACTCTAAGTATTTTACTACGCTACTGATTTGAGCCATACTGATTTAATTCTGCGGGAAGAATATTACTCCTTCTACTGCAAAATATCTTTTAATTGCTAAATTTGACTGTATTTTTAAAAATTTGCCTTAGCAATCGAAGGCGAAACTAACGAGCATCGTTCACCTAACATTCCATCTCAAAATTAACAACATCGAATGCACGATTACAAAGAGAGGAAGGAGAGTGCAAAAATCTGTGTGGCGAGGTACGAGGAAGAGGAGAAGAAGAAGAAGAAGAGGGGTCAAAAAGTCACTTCTACTGCAAAAGCTTGTTTACTCGGCAAAAAATGCGGAGCGAGGGATGTACACACACACACACATCTGTGATAGCGTGCGTGCGTATAAAGTTGTTCATGTGTGTGTTTAAATGCCAAGGTATACAAAAAGAGTCATGAAGAGGGCTAGTATGTATGTGTACGTGTTGCTTCTCCCTCACTCCCCGCCAGCCCCACCCCAAATGTCCGAATGGGGGAACGGCCACAAATGTTAAACGTCCCCATGCATTCACGGTCACTACCTGCAGTCTTGACAAGGGAAGGGGTGAATCGCTCGTGTAATTCGGCAGCTTCGCTTGTTTGTAAACCTGAACCACCAGGGAAGGAGAGAAGACGGGTGATGTGAAAGCTGGGTGTGACGGGACGCCGCTGTGTACGTGCTACTCCCAAGTGGCGTGCACATTTTCCTGCCAAACTCCCTTTCCGCTCCACGACAGCCCACTCACAGATTCTGCCCGCCCTCACGCCACCCCCACATGTCATATCACCTAAGTACGCCAGACAGACACGTTCAAGTGAAAGGGGGCTATGGCAGGGCTGGCTTCAACTGCGCATCCCACCCCGCGCTCTTTCTCCCCGGAGAGAGCGTCTCCGTTTTCTAACTTCAGCAGTACTTCTCTTTACCCAAACATTCCTCCCTTCGAGAATGGCGGAAATTGCCACAAAATAATAGTTCAGTTCGTGGGAAGTAAATTAGATTGTGCAAATAAGGACGTCTTTGGCTGCCATCAAGGTGCTTTACTAAGGGTAAGAGGATGAGACATTCACTTGGGAATGGGATACATGTTAGATAAAGCATGAAATGTAAAAAAAAGGCAGCCCCGATATCATGATTAATTGACACAGCATGGGTAAGTTCAATTTTTTCTAATGTCGCAAGGCATTAACTTTGACAGGCGGCTTAAAAAAGTAGAGCCATGCACACAAACACCTCTCAGTCTTCGCTTTCTGCTTCTTTTTCTGCGTAGCTCGCTCCGAAGGTGCAATCATCGTGGGAGAACATGACATAACAGTCCATGTGAGATCCGGTGAGAACCTCATACAGTCATGCAAAGTCAACGCCGAGCATCACCGATCCGTTACCATACGAGTAAGTCAGTTTTTCTACTGCAGACACCGGAACGGCACTAATGCATCGTCACATGTAGTATGACGCCCAATAGCGATTGCCAGTTATCTTCACCTCGGTCTGCCACCTTCCTTTAACCTTCCAGAGACCACTGGCATGGAGTCAGGTCAAAAGCATTTGACATTTGGCTGTAAAAATTGAACGAAATAATGTGGCACATAACACGCTAAATTGGGTGACAAAAATCCACCAAAGAATCTAGGTTTTCTGCTATAACCTTTTAATTGTTGGGCCCCCTCCGAGAATCTTTAAACCGGCGTGGTTGGTAGAACAAGTCGCCATAGCTTCCATTGACAATGTCGCTCGAGCAAGGCGTGCTTGTGAGACCTGCGACCACAAGTTAAATGACTTAATTACATTGTAAAAGAGGAAACTACAAAGTTAAGGAATTTAGGGCAAGTGCTCCATGTTAGGGTAAGGGTCTGATCTAGCGTAAGGGAAAGTTCTAGTTGAAATCAGTATATATATTGGAAGGGTAAATTTCAATACATTTTACTTTCGAAATTTTAAACACCACTATTAACGTTTCATGAGGCGATGATTATCATTTAATACTACAAAGCTTCAACTGAAAAGGGCATCAATGTATCATGAAAGGAAGACGTAGGTTTGAATGCGATGGTTTAAGAGAAAGTAGAGAGTTTGTGGCTTGGCCGGCCCCGGAAACAAGTTGTATTAATGGGGTCAAATCGGTTTTGGTTTACAGGAGGAAGCAGCTTCATTGCTAATGTGACTGATGTCCAAAAGCAGCAAAATTGAAGGATTTTAATGTGCTAGTACTGTTTACTGATCTTATTTGCGCAAAGTTACCACACATGCACACATCGATAGTCCACGAAGGCAGCCCTATACAGCCTCGCGACATTTTTAGCGTAACCTGACCCGCGACCGCAAGGCCGTGATGGCATCTAATTACCACACTTCTGATTTTTTCATCATCTCTCCTTAGTGGGGAAAGATAATTGATCCAGGTAAAACAGTTTCTGCCTACGAAGGAGCCGGTAAGGAGGTAATCCAGCTCTCCAACATTGCCTTCATCGTGTTTCCTTTGATGCCGACGAGTGAGGCGAGCAACAAGTTGACCTCTAGCGCCCCCATAATCAGCGCTCCGTTTGCAGTTAGCGATCCTGGCTCGTCCGAGAGTCAGCTGGTCATTCAACGAGTCACGGAACGCGACGCAGGCGTGTACATTTGCTCCGTTATAACTGAGTCTGGCTGGGATGACAGGAAACTCATGCGGGTTGTTGTTTCAGGTATGGTGACATGCGAAAACAAATTTTACATACCTTTAAGTTGTGTAATCCATTAGATTTTTCTCGTGCTTTTGTCCGTCTGAAATCCACTTAGTGCCACTGTTAAAGCCGATATAACGTCTACTGAATCAGGAGAACATAATTGTTTTAAGAATCATTGTGTACAGATTGAAATGGGCGATACAGGGAGTACTTTCAGGTGTACGGTTCTCCGGGGTCGTAACTTCGTGAAAAGCGCTGAAACAGGGACTAGGTAAGCGTAAATCTAGCTAGAATGTCTGCTCATTTCACAATAAAAGCATCTACTGTCGGACGACGGGTTCAGTAAGTAAATCCGGTAATTTTAACTCAGTGTCACTGTTTTCGGAAAAAAATCTTTGAGCATATTCTCAAAAAATTAACTGTTCTCCCGTGTATTACTATTTGAATGATCAGTTGTAAATTAAATGTCGGTAATATCTAATTTTTTATAAAGGAATATTTTATGTACAGGATTGAGGTTACCAGCGAATGGGCCCAACAAGTGACTTGATATTACATAAACAATTGTACCAACATTCAATTTCGTAGAATAAAGAATAAATTTTGGAAAGTTATAGCTCGCTGGTTGTCTAAGCCGCCCCCCTAATTGTTGTTAATTTTTAATCGTAAAAATCATAACTTTTTCAATGCCCTAATACAATTTATTCTACCGGGCGACCCAATTTAATTATCGTCTTGTTGAAACACGCAAAGTTCCGCAGAGAGCATCTGCATGCGTTTCCAGGGGCTTTAGCTAGTGGAAGATGTGGCATCTAGTTTTCAGACTAAAATTGCACTGCCACAAAATTTCAGTTTCAAACACCCTATTCAGCTGATCGAGTTTTCGGGTTTTTGAGTAGGTAGAGACGGGTAAAAGTTTACCACGCTTTTGGGCCTTTTAAGGTGCAGCTGATTTTGCAGAATACACAACTTTTTTACTGTTTTTTTTTTGAATTTTAAAATTCACGTGCGACAAATAAAAAAACTTGGATGACGAGTTCTTAAAATTATGTATTCTGGACAAGGTCACTTTACTTCTAGTCTACTTGTATTTCTTTTGGTTAATCCTGCATCCACAAGGGACAATGCAGACATAATGGTTCCACGATGCGAAAATAGCACTGTTTCATACCTATAAACCACCTCAAGATAATACTGTAGAAAGGAGATTAAGTTTTAAGCTTTCACAGGCTTATATAGCAAGTATTACGTGCTTTCTGGAGGGACTAACCTGTAATGCTTTGTTCGATATTATCTCCCACTTATATTATGGCACAACCTCCTGGTAGGTGTGGAAATGTCGAATGATGGATATTGGAGGGCATATACTAAAGCAAACTTCATAACCCCTCACCAAGCTGTTTAGTTCAAAAACTCCCCCTTAGATATTAAGGCCGCAAGTATTTCGGCCATTTGGATTAACTCGAAATCCTCAAAGTAACCTGATTTTACTGTTCATTTTAGACTGGTTTGGTTAGCACAAGCCCCACAAGTCTCATTTTTGTTTAATTACCGCGCTTTAGTAAACTAACAGTCTTCAGACAAAACTGATTGCTGCACGATTCGGCTAGGTGCAAATGGGTACGTGCTCTGAACAACTCGAGAGTTACGAGTGACTAAAACTCACTTTAGTCAGGGTCCGTGAATTTTTTGGCCTCATTTATAGCGGGAAAAATAAAGGTGCTTATTTCCCTTTACGTTCACCCCTTCAGATGGTCAAACTGAACAGTCAGCCGAGTCGTTGGAGGAGAACAGCTACCAACGACGCCTCGCTCTCTACATTGCAGCGCCAGTTGTCGTCTTCTTTGTCTGCATTTTTATAATTAGCTACTGCGTGATCAGCCGGAAAGGCCGCCGCTGCTCGCAATCTGAGAGCGCTGGTCATGCTCGAGCGACTCTGCCTGCAATGCGACAGATGGGGAACAGCAACAACTCCGTGGGGGTCTATCGTCGTACCCTGAACGGAAACAGTTTCTCCGGGAAGACAAACAACATGGGCCTCGTGGACCACCATAGGGCCCACCACTCCCCTCAAGGCCCTCCTTCTACCGTCACGGTAACCGCAGCCAATCAAGTTGCATACTCCTCTTCGACTGGGTCACATTCACTTAGTGGCACTTCGGCGGGCACTCCGGGCTCGATGCTGCTAGCGAACACAATGGTTCAAGTCCTCCCACCGGACGGGTCAGGATATCCCCTTCTCAAACCCAATGGCCATCACCATCAGTCACCCTCGCCACATCAAACCACATACGACCCCTACAACGGAGGCCACCCAAGCAGTGGGGGCGGTGGTGGGGGGGGGATGGTGTACATGCCGTCTGGATACCACGATTTTCAAGGTTAGCAGCTTCCAGTCAGTTGCTTGGCCGAAGGGTAGATGAGGTTTCCCACATTGCACACTTCTTCCTCTGTACAAATGTTCCCTCACTTTCTTTCTTGACGTCAGCCCGTGCTGAATAATGTACATGGAAATGGGTGACACGTACAAATACGTTTTCCGTGTTCACTCGCCACTTCATGATGCATTTTGGTTTAACTTTCGCGAACAGCACCTGCCCCACGGTCATACTAGCCAAGCCTGTCCAGGGTACCCACAACTACACATATATACTTTAAACACAAAGCACACCCACAATCTATCTAGATTTTCCCTAACCCACTCCCCAATTCCTTCAGTCTGCTGTTGATGCGGATCATTTTATTTATTGTATGACTCAATTTGAATGGACCTCCCAAGGCCATTTAAACACAAGAACTTGCATACAGGGTATTTTTAAGCTACTAACAATTCAAACACATCAATTACTTCGACAATGATGCAATGCTTTTAATTTTTTGAACCACATCAAGATCTCCACAGCAACTGCTCTCTTCTTACCTAGCCCAACTGTCACCTGCGCCAACATTTAGACGATTTTGATTAAAAAATGCACTTTATACTGCTCACGATGACCATTCAATTACGCAAGTTCCACTTAAATACCATCCATCGACGCCTCTAGTCCCGCCCTTTTTATAATTTTATTTGAGGTCAAGGTCATGAATAAACGTCTTACCGAGCGAACCTGTTTTTTTACCAAAGGACACTGTATTGCGATGGAACACATAAATTAAGGTTTACTGATCAAGTTGAGGGATTTTCTTATCCAGGTAGTGCAACACAGGGCAGTCGGTGCCCGTGGTGAAGGTTCAGACCGTGGTACTATTAGGGCGCGAGCCAAGAGGTAGAATCCTGGATATTGCAGAATACATCAAACTGAACTGGCAGCACCCGATCGATACGAAAGCCTACAGTGCGTGATAGGCTTGATTCACATCGAGATAAGACAGGTCACGATTAATTGCTGTTCCTCACGTCATAATTACTCGAGGAATATAACGTGCCATAGATCAGTATTAGTTAATAGGATTAATTGCGCTTCAAGGGGCTACTTTTTCGGCTCATGTTCTATTTGGCGCTAGTTATTACGCTGTCTAGACAGCAACTCAAGACCTCTAAGGATAAAAATCCCAAAATCCGGAAAAGTGCAATCAGTGGATGCGTGTCAAGTGCTGTTAGTCTACAACAGATATCAATATCCAGATCGGTCTAGGTGTAAATACCAGCCATCATTTTTATGAGGGCAGTGACATTCTTGACTAAAAATGGATACTCATAAGACATGGACTGCACAATTACATTTCATTGCCTTTTTTAACCGTTTGATCGCGAGATGGTCCTTGAACCTGCGAGAAAAACGTTCGTGCCCTCGTCATTTTCCATTGATGATCTGGATCCACAGCTGGCCTGAAACTGAATCAGGACACCCATTCGGGCCGTTGAATTATGAAGCAGTGTCAGTTGTTTTAATGTAGTCAACCCTGTTTTCAAGTTTTCCTGCTGGTTTAAGAGGGCATGTGGGTAGAAATTTGAATCCAGTTTGTTTTTTTAGCATTTCGACACAAATGCAAAGCCGATAATTTGAAGGGAGTGCAAAAATTACCTTAATTTTTTCAGCTTATGTTTCGTCTAGTGAAAAGATAGTCATTTCATTTGCGGATTGCTGAATCTTAACGTCGCTAAGGGAGTGCGAAGTATTATAAATTGGTCAGAAGCGAGAACTGATCAGATGCATTAAATTCTCTGCCAGGAGCTATTTGTGATTTTTAAAAGCACAATTTTCCCTCCGATTTTTAAATCCCTTTATATTGACTTCACGATAAAACAGAAAAAGAAACTGTTGAGTTTCAAATGAACTCAATTGTTTTAAGCCACTAATCTTCAAAAACGACTTTTGGTCCTTTAGGACTAGTAATTTCAAATCACATTTCAAGTTTGACATTAAAATCAAAATTAGGCTCTTAAGGAGCAATTTAACGTAACCAAAGGGTTCCTCTGTGGTGATTTTTTGAAGCAATCGTCGTACCTGACAACATGGCGATTTTAAGAGAAGCAGACAAACCTCTAACTTGAGATGAACTCATCCGAGAACCACTGGCAGGGTTTGTAAATGCCAGCAAACAAACTCCACGGCTGTGTTACGGGGTTTTCATTTCCAAACTGCTGAGGTATGGCCTGTTTCCTGCCTGCATATTTGTCACGTGATCGATAGCGGAGTTTGTTTTAAAAATATCACGGATGTCAGTCAGCAATGACCGGAGTGCTTGCAAACGCTCAAACCTCGATGAAAGCAGAGTGCTGTCAATGTTTAATGCCTTATGTCCTGCTTCAAACTTCACAAATAGCCTAAGTACTGTTTTGTTATGCGCTTTCGTTGTCTACAACGAATCGTGAAGATTCGCAAGTCATTGCGACACACAGGACTAATAATATTCGGTACTATCGTGCCACATGCGCGTGACTGAGCTTATGATGTATCAAATGACATATCCAGATGGCTTAATTTATGTGGGCACCGGTAAGTCTTGGAGCGAGTCGATGGCGAACAAATGAACCTGAGCCGAGAAGAACACGTGGAACAGCGGTGCACTTTTTTCTGATCAGTGGGTCATCTTGAATTTAATAAACTCAGATTCTCCATTGAGTCGAAAAGTCAAATCAGAAATCGCAGAATGCCTTTTTACCTTGCTTTGATACTCAGACCTAAAGCAAATTCAATTTACCTGACCTAGGTAGCGTCATCTTACAGTGTTTTTTTAAAATAAACGATTTTAATCAGGATTCCGGATTGTTTCAAGAAAGGTAGATTTACTTAGCAGAAAATTTAGACCAGGATGTCTGTAGTACAACTGTCACCTTCTCTATGTAGGTGGTTTGGTCATATTTGTGCGAGTTATCATCAAGCCAGATCAGCGACCAAGCTAAGGTATCCAACTACTTCATAATCCTCACCTGTAAAGCAAATAATAAAAAGGACTTGTCGATTACTTATAGTGATTACCCAGTTCTGTGACTTTTTGTTCACAACTTTTATTAATAACCGAATCAATAATTCTGTAAATATGCATACAGCACCTCAGATATTAGGTTTATGCCATTTAAAACCCCAAATAAACATTAAGGGTTAAATAAGTATTTATCAAATACTTCCAGTTTAAGACTATCAGCGTGAATTTTTAAATATGAGAATTGAGAGGGATTTTAGCCTGAGCTTAGGTTAATACCTCACGACCTACTACTTACTTCCTGACGGTCGGTTCGCAAGGCACTTGGCCCAGATGGAATGGCGAGTGCGCTGCATTGGCCATAACGCCAGATGTAGGATTTAGGGGTGAATTAACAAATAGAATGGCCCTATGATTTAGTTTTCTGTAAAATGAACAGTAACAGATCCTCTCGATCCATTTGCAGTGAAAAATGGCACGTATTCAGTGCCAAGTAATCTGGTGGATGGAAGGTACTTTACAAATATTTGGCTGCCATCGGATCTAATTACCATAAAAGCATGATGAAAATGATGAATCCCAAGAAGTATCATGAAGCCAAGCAGAACGAAGTCACTTACGTGACAGCTTTTATTAAACTTGAATTATACTGCAAAACAAGGATGCCATCCTGGAGAAGGTTGTCTGGTGAAAGACGATAACTGAGGTACAAAAGCTTTTGTTCTGGCTTTGTTAATTGCATAACAGCATCAATATTTTCCCCCTTAATAGCATATCTAAGTAATTTAAAATCTGCAACCATCTGACTACTTTTGTGTCGTTCAGTACAAGGACAGGAATAAGGAAACACGAGAATTTTTATTTCATTCATGACCGGTATTTGTTTTTCCCAGGACTTCGTGCTATGGACTACTTTAGTGCGCATGAGAAGAAACGCCAGTTTGCAGTTGACGGCCTCAAGGCAAAAGTATTCAAACTGCTGGAGGCGCTCCTGTAAGCGCCGTGGCAGCAGTTCTGTGAAGTAAAGAGCGTCTCTGAGGAATATCAACAAGGCCTTTTTTGTTTATGCGTCATTGCCCGTGCTACTTTGCATAGAACCATGTCTGTTAAATCGGCCTCATCATTTTACCTTAAGCCTTATCCAATTATAACGTAGACACTGGGGTGACAAAAACGGCTCTGGCAGCATTTGCCCTAGAAAGGATAGATTGGTTCATTGAATTGTTAAACCCAACATTTATTGACATTTTCGAACGTTTGAAATTCATTTTTATCCAAAACCCTTCAGAAAGTATAAAGACTGAAACTAGCCTTAATTGAAAGCCTGTGTCTAATCACATGTAAGTTTGCGTTTAAATTAGCATATTTCACCGTATCGATGTCTTATTGCAAGAAAGACTTAAGGGATCTTGTTGAGCTTTTTTCTCACTTTAAATGTTGAGCTTCAGGTTTTTGAGCCGCATGTTTTATCAATTACCATTAGTTATTTTTCTGGAGCATCAGATCAATCTTTTTATTTTTCTCCTTAGTTTATAACTTGGTAGCCAATAACCTTTTAGAGCAATCACTAGCATTTACCTTCATGTTTTTTAATATTAGCTGAATAAATTACACAAAAATTCTACTTTGTAATGCTATGGCTTATGTTGCCCTGTAATCAAACTTTTTGGGGCTTTTCACATCTATAAATTGATTTGAATTGAAGGTATACTACGGAAGGAATACTAAGACACCTGAGTCTTAGAGCATCCATTGGATAGACGGATAATTACAGCAGTGTATTTAGAAATTAGATTAGGGTCTTTACCATGCAAAATCTTTCACCAAATTTAGATGTCTATTACATTTTCCAATTATTCAACGAAAAGTCACGATAAGAGGCTTCTTTTTAATAGAATTGGTTCGAAAGTAGATAGGCTGGATTTATTTTGAGCAACTGAAATTTAATACTGAGTAATGCTGACATAAATCCCAAATCTACCGACCTCTCAAAAGAAAATAGATGGCAAGAACACGACTAAGATGTCCGAGAAAATCCACTGGACAGAAACCCCTGTAGTAAGGCAGCTATCACATGTACTTAGGTTGATACCAGCAAATCAGACTCACTGATTCTTGATATAAGTCAAAACACAAATTTACTTGATTCTCAAGACGGCTACATTTGTTTCTGACGGGTTTGACAAGAAAGGTGCCACTTGAGCTAAGAACGCCAATTAAAATCTCACTACTGGGTGTCACCTTGATGACAGAGATTTTTGAAACCACCAAACAACTCGAACTTTGATTAAAAGTTGCTACGTATAAACGTCAATGACTACTCACAGATGCAGCGCTCCCCACAGTTTAAAGTGATAACTGTTTAGATACATATTAAACTAACTTCTAATTTTCTTTTATTGAAGTAAAATTGATTAGTCAAATGTATTATCAATCATTTAAATAATTACTTTTACAAAAAATGAGATTTTTTCATGAGTAGGGAAAATTCGTTTAGATCCACGACGCCGTCTTTGTTTACATCCGCCTTTGAAAACAGCTCCTGGAAGCCAACCTGTAAGGAATTAGACCTAAGAAACCTGCAATTCCTCCTCAGATATTTCTTCACCTAACTGTTGCGCAACACGTTTAACATCACCAATTTCCAGATATCCACGGTCACTTAGACTGTACAGTTGGAATGCCTTTTTAATTTCCTCATCGGAATATTTAGACAACATTGTTTCTGTCATCACACTAAGAAACCCACTGAAATCTAGTACACCTAAAATAAAGGCATTTTAAAACATTATGATAAATTGCCTAAATTTTTGGGGTCGTAGCGGCGTATAATTTTCGATAGATCTGACGGCCTTGATACAAGTCCAAGTGCACGCAGTGCGATACCAATATCAGTTATGTCAATAGTTCCCACACCGGACTCGTCCAAAAGGTCGAAAGCGCACTTAAGTTCGTCCTTTTGTTTCACAGTCAATTCAAGTTTAAGTTCCTTTTTTGAAAGGGAGCGACCTAAAACATCCTCCATTACTTGAAAAACACAACAAAAATATTATTAAAGCAAGATGAAAACATTATTTAAAAACAAATAATTTTAAAAAGCACAGTCAAACTAAAATTATTTAATCGATAGTTCCATACAGGTTGAAACTTTATTTAATGAGTCTCCATGAAGACGCAGCTGTAAAAAGCTTTTTTAATGTGTTGCTAAGTTCAAAAAAAACAAAAAATTATTCTCTTATTAATATAAGAAGATGATGGGTGAAAAAAAGCAGTACAAAAAATTTTGATGAAAGTTAGATGCAAGTAATATTTAAAAAGCTGGTTCAGTAATAGAGAGAAATAGAATAATTTGCATTAAAATAAGGAAACCAGGTCAACAGTTCATGTGTGTTATTTTGACACCTTATTTTTCGTTACACAATCTCTTAACCTATAAACCCAAAATTTAAAACAGAACTGAATACAAAATAACGAACTTAATGAACCAAAACAAAACATGTTGCTTACAAGGTCATTGTAATAGGCTTTTGCAAAATTTACTCCATAAGCATAAAAATGCATCAATTTATTTGCTACATGTGTTAAAGTGTATCTAATTAAAAATGCAATTTTCGCCACATTAATAAGAACAAGGCAATTACGTGGTTTAAAGCCTCCAAAAATGAAGGAAATTAGACTACTTGCTATTAGCTAACTTCAAAGATTCTGACCAAAGATGATTACTTGTAAAATAATAAGCACTATTAAACACTTGAAACCCAACAACAGCCACAATGTCTGACTACCAGTCTAAGCTAAAATTTTTACCAAATTATTCTGACGTAACCGGATTACAATTAGAGTAGGATTACATCAATTAAAGAAATGTTTTTATTGTTGTGACATGTCTAAAATTTAAGAATTTAATTGCTGCCAATTTAGAGAAATAATTTATTGTGTTTAGTGCTTGTTTTACGCGTTTGCTACTACGCCCGCGAATGTTGAAATTCTGAGGAAGCGTAGCTGCATCCTGATTGGTCTTAGTCGCTGCGTGGTTTCCTGGCCTTGGTCATGTCATCTAATAGCGTAAATGGTGGAATGGTGCATGAAGCCAGTGCACGAGATGGTGTGGTGGGCGGATTTACTATTGTTCGAGATAAGCTCAGATACAGAAAAGAGAAGGCATTGTTTTCGTTTGCTGTCACGTTAAGTTAAGGTTAAAGAAATCCTCCCTCACTGGATCACAACCCCCGTTAGCTGCTCCGGCAACCTTGATGTCGGGATAAAGATAAAAAAATTTAAGATACTTAACGAAGTATTGCGTTCAAATCTAAAAATCATGGGTATTAGACGTTTATTTCCAGGTATGCTGACAACAAAGCCCCTAATATCTAGTTCAAAGCGCCGTCATCCCCTATATATTGGATTTCTATGAGGGCCGACTTCAACCCTCATTTGGTCATCCGCGCGACATTTGTATTTCTGCACCCACAGGAAGTGGCAAAACCCTAACATATATTCTTCCAATCGTTCATGTAAATCCTTTCTCTTCATTATCTCTGAAGTTGCTAAGCGCTTGCAAGACTAGGGTCATCCGAGCCGTTATTATCTTGCCAGTTCGCGATTTGGCTAAGCAAGTGGCAGAAACGATTCGAAGCCTTGTAGTTGGTACACCTATCCGTGTACGTTGTACATGTTTTCATAACCTCGTAGGTTGTTCTTCTCACTGGTGAAGAAAGCTTTACTGCTGAACAGGACAATGTCTTTGCGACGTAAGTAATTGCTCTTCTACGCGACTCTATTAGGCACGACAGCAAATGTGTCCCTCCGGATATTATAGTTTGTACTCCTGGTCGTCTCGTCGACCACATCTACAATACGCAAGGTTTCTGCCTAGAACACGTCCGATTTCTTGTAAACACAGAGCTATTACCTATTTGCCATTAAATACATTTCTAAATTGACGTATGGTTTATTTTGCCATGGTAGGTCATTGATGAGGCCGACCGTGTTATAGCTGAAGAAAAGCAAGACTGGTATAACATTTTCGAAAGTGCTGTTTATGGTGCTACAAACGTATCTGAAAGCAATCGTGAGAAAAGTGTATCAAGACGATCGTTTCCCCTTCCGACAATCGAGTCTCATTGCTCAATATCGGCGTTCACGCTACAAAAGGTTTGTTTATCCATGTTTCCAACTAATTGTATGTTCGAAAACTTACTTGATCACCACAAACAATTGCGTTCTTTTTAATTCATCAAAATTCTGGGTAACAGCTGAAACTCCTGCTCGTTGTCACCAAATCATATGTGGTTTGAGAATTATGGAGCCATTTTCGCATTTTTTATTCTCTAGTGTCGATTTCGTTTATTTTTTCGCACCCTTTTATTGCCTCATTTTACTTTTTGAATTTTAATCGCGGCTCGTTAGTATCACGGGGATTTCGATCAAATATAGGCATTCGAGTTCTACTCTAACACTGTGGAAATGGAGTGAGCCAAAATTTGTTATGCATCACATTTGTATGTATAAAGTGGAATTTGCCTAAGACGAGAGGGCAGGAATCTTTTCCGCTTGCTCCTGGGCTTTCTCGTTGGTTTGTACTGTTAATTTCTCGATGTGGCCATAATAACATTACATATCTAACAACATTTTTTTGTCTAATACAGTTTCAAGAATGCTCATATTTCTGACTCTCTTATGTTTTGTAGATCCTGCTATCAGCGACATTGACTCATGACCCTGAACCGTTAAAACGATTCCGGTTGAATTTTCCTCGTCTATTCTTGGCGTCTACCTCTCAAAAAGAAACTCGTGAAGGTGAAATAGATTTGCGTCAAGACACCTGCAGGGAGTCTGAGGGTGCTAAATGTGAGAGTTCTGGTAAGCTAGAGGAAACCCAAGATTCTCCAAGGGGACTTCAGTATCAGGCACCTGTTGTTAGTGGTGCTGGTGGTGTCGGTGTCTTCTCTACCCCTAGTGGCTTAAAAGAATTCTTTGTAGAATTGATCGAAAGGCAGAAGCCTATGTTTTTGGCACATCTTATAAAAAAGCTAGGACATACGAGGGTTCTTTGTTTTACAAATTCACGAGAATCAACGAAACGGCTAGCAGTTCTGATGTCTTTTTTCGATAACATCAAAGCTGGAGCATTAAATGCTGGCATGCCGCTCCAGAAGAGGACAAGGTTGCTACATTCCTTTGCAAATGGTGAAATTCAGGTGTGCTCCGTTTTTTGTATCTAGTGCTCTTTTTAATTTCTATACCATGTACGTAAATTGCCTCGACATCCGTGCAGGCAGCGCAGTGCTTGTCTTCCTAGTTACTTAGTGTGCATAGGATGTTTTCTCGGCGTTGCAGTTTTCTGTTAAAAGTTTTTGCTCTATATCATAGGTAAAGCTAAAAAATAGCAAATGCGGATCGTCCTGTCGTAAGGGCTGTTTTTAAATGCACATTGCCCCTATACTTTGTTCTTGAACCCCGGGGGTTTTGTTATGTTTCTTTATTATTCCTTTCAGCTTCTTATATGCACAGATGCTGTCGCACGGGGTATAGATATTGAAGATGTTTCCTGTGTGGTGTCGTATGAAGCGCCACAATCCACCAAAACCTATGTTCATCGGGTCGGTCGTACTGCCAGAGCTGGAAGACCTGGTCAGGCGTATACCCTTCTCCTTCATAACCAGGTTAAATTTTATTGTCAGTAGTACTTCTGATTGTCTCCGTAAATTTAGTCCTTTAGCGGCTATTTATCTTGTTTCATCAATTATACATCTTTCCTAATCACGTGTTTCTACTTATCAACACTTTACAAGACTATCGAGTCTCGCCTCCCTAAAAAGCTACTCCACGATGACACCTTTATCTCTTAAATTAAGAAGAATCCGGCGGTGATTGAATTAAGTTGACCGAAATAAATACTGAGCTTGATACACTGTGATCGCCTGCATTCGAGAGAGCGCAATCGATTTACACTATCGTTTACTTGTTAATATAATCCCTGAATATTTTCTGCAGATACGCTACTTCAAGTCCAGTCTCAAATCTGTTGGCAAACACGCGAGGAATTTCCCAGTTCATTCAAGCAACTTAAGGCCTTACACTTCGACTTATCAGAAGGCATTGGGCTATCTCGAAAAGAAATTCCAGGTGAAGCCTTTGAACCCGCTTTTCCCTGTGTGTAGCAACTGAATAGTAACGTGGTAAAAAACGCTTTACTATGCATACTGTATTTAGTAGTTTGCGTGTCTTTTAAGGCACGACGCGTGCAAGTGGCTATCGTAAAAGTCCGTGAAGGCGAACAGAGTAGCAACCCTCAATGGGAATTGGAGTCGATCGTTCCGAAGAAAATCACAGTGGAGTAATTCGCTACTTTATTAAAAAGCGGTTTTACCCATTCCAGCTGATTTGTGAAAGCCATGGGGTCTCAGTTGTAGGCCAGTTGTCATCAAACTGGAAGTTCGTTTGATCCGTTACTAACTCCTCTCGTTAAACCGCTTAAATGTAGTCTTTAGTTTTGTACTTGTGCATTTTTTGAATGCATGCAACTGCCGTCTTTTGGGACGCAATTTTTTTAAATTTTAGGTCTTACATAAAGATGCCTTTGGTGTTCCCATAAAGCCTGGTAGTGCAAACCATAAAGCAAAGCAGAAAACCAATGTTGCTTGGAGAAATACGTCGAAAAAAACACGAAAAGGGACCACTTGCAAGCAGTTAGACAATTGAAGGTTTTGTGATACTGCTCAATTGCTAATGTTGGCCTTTGTATATTTGAATAATTTGCCTCAACAATTTAATCAAATACACTCTTTTATGCGTACTGACTCTTTTTGTGTTCACTGTTTCCCGTAGCTCCAGTCTCATCCTGGAGGCTTTTTAATCATTTTTTTCGAAATGATGTGTTTTCTGCAGTTGTAGAAAAACTAAGCCTTGCGTAGAGGCGTTCGGATAGCCATGGAGGGTGCACCGTTACAAGTGTGCTATACTAGAAACCGTAGGCGTGGCGTTAAATAAAATATCGCAACGAAGACCTCCGAGTATACTTTACATTGAAAAGGCTTTAATTAGCTTAGGTTTAGCAGCTGATTCCTAAGAGGACGTGCTGAACATGCCTGATAGTCACCGTAACTATCACTTAGTTAGGGAACTGTGGGTTGTAGCACTTGCACCCTTAACTTGTGGCGTTTGGTTAGCCTTATTATCATTAAGGTAGTTTGCATATGTCTGTTGAATTTAGCCCCGTCAGTGATTTTATCAGGGTAACCTCTCAGCAGAGATTGTAACATTTGCTATTTACACTAAGTAGTGGTGCTACTTAAAACCCATTAGTAGCATTCGCTGAGATTTTTTTCGACTGTTTTAATTGTACTTAAATTTGCTGTCCATTAGATCATCTCGCTTTCGTGAAATTGATGAAACTCAAGGTATTTTTCGTAGCCTTTCTGCTCTTGACTACTGCAGTATCTTCGAAGGCACATCAGGCAAAAGGTAATTTGCCCTTGCGTGTTGTTTGCTAAAGTATAGAGCCAACAAGACGTGTAGCATGTGATCTCGAACAGAAGGGCCTCCATCTTAAATTGCGTTGCTCTCTGACGCCAACAACTCATGGAGTGTGGGACCAATGTGCCATTAGCATCGATCTTGCCAAGGGTAATTTATCTGTTTAAATGCACGTATGTGTGTACATGCATGCATATTAGTTCACTTTTTACCTTCAAAGGTGCATTATAACTCGTTTATTAATGTTAAGGGGTTTATATGAATCCCCATGAATTGGCGGACAAAATGCCCAATGTGAAGTTTACAATCTTACGAAAAGCCAGTCGTGAGGCGAGTCGGTTATCGCAGTTCTTTTTCTCCAGGAATAATTTTGAATCGGAAAATGAACAGGAGATTTTCCTAAATGCTTCACAAGTGGACATCGAAGTGCCGAGTTGGAGGTCTGAGCCCATGAAATGGAAGTTTGCCCTCGATTCACAACGGCAAACATGGGGCTCAGATGCAGCCATCGAACTTGACATTCCTTTGCACTTGCGCTACAAGTATGCTGTCTCTTGACATTTTGCTACCTACCCATTTCTTTTTCAAGGTTACGTTTACGCATTCGTGATTTACCTTCCTAACTAGGGCGTGCGGGTCGAAAACCCGTAGTGATGCAACTTTTTTTCTCTCGAATGGTGCAACGAGTTTTTTTTATACTACTAGATTCAAATCCAACTGTCCACACAAGTCACGATGTCTTGGCAGTAGTTCCCTTTTAACGAACTCCAAATGTTATTTTACGATGTCTGTTATTTGAAGCTGCGATTTTTGCGATGCAAAATCAATTGGTAGTAATTATCTTCGCGCCTTTGTTCAGGATCACTAATCCTCCTGTTTGATCAATCATAACTATATTGCATTGTCTAAGGGGCCGTTCATAGGTGGCGCCTCACATGAAACGATAAATTTAGTCTTTGCAATTTGTTTGGATCCCTTGGATAAGTTATTGGCTGGAACCGCCAGGATTCAAGCTCAATTTCTGTAGCTGTTGCACATAGATGGAGTCATTTTTTTCAGAGGGAAACACCGTACCGTTTCCTTCTTTCTCACTTGTAGTCTCCCTTCGCGCTCGGGCAAACCATCAGGTGGAATTGTCTCCAGTGTGATTTTTAGTTGTAGTGACGGTGCCGTGGCAAGTGATGGCAAGGAGTACGCCGCCAGCTCACCTCAGGGATGTTCATCCGACCTTCTCCTGGTCATGCCACTCACTCTCATTTTCCTCCTTATCGGAATCCTCGTGTTACTTTGTCATTAACCGTGCTGTTGTTCGCATTCGCAAGCTGTCGTCTTTCCTCTCACTGCTGTATTCAGCGCCCGTACAGTCGTGAATTCTTGCACTCACCAAGTTAATAAATCCTCTGGTGCGCGATCTTCCTACCTTTTTGCTGCTAGCAACTTAGGCTGCATTCTCTTGAAGTTCCCTGAAAAGCGTTGGATTGCAACAACAGGCGGTATCTTTGTTTTCTTATGGCGTCACTTGGAAGCATAAATTGACATGTACGTTCACACTCATGCTCACGAATATGCCTGCATGTAGGCGTCGTTATGGAAGGGACACTGGCCTATTAACCAAGTCATGCGTTTTTCTAATATGGATTTCGCTCTAATAAAGTGGACTTACCAGCACGAATAGTTGGCACTTGTAACTGCAGAAGCGGTTGGTCAGTTTAATTGTTTCTCGGATGCATCCAGGTGAAATATGTAGCCAAAATGATAACTTGATTTAATTTAACAGACCATTAATTTGTAGCCATATAATTGTGCAGTGAATCTTGCCTCTTCCACTGACTTCTCAGTTCTTTTACAGTTTGCTGTCTTGTCGGTCTAGACAACCAGGGACGGTCAGGTACTTATTTTCACGAAATCGCGGTTCACATGCCCTCAGACTTGTAGTAATACAGTTGACTGTGTCAAGTTTACTGAAAACGGTAAGCCATGAGGGATGTTGATTTTGCTTGGATTCACTTTGAATTTAGAAGCATAAGTTACATAAACCAAAGGGAACCCTGCAGCGTACTCATTAGTGCCAAGGGAAAGCGGTTTCAGCATAATGACTGTCGCCCATTTTGATGAAAATGATGCTAACTTTTTTTAATTGAAAGAATGGTATACTTATAAGAAAGTAACTTCAAAACGGCGCAATTATGCATCAAAATAACGGTGTGTTGTTGTGGGGTTGTGAAGTATTTTGATGCTTACGATCAAGCATCTCGGCAGTGTTATCGATGTGGGATGCAGTCGATCGCCTCAGAAGATCCAGGGCTGTCATTTCGAAGCTCAGCGGCTGCCAGCGTGCTTGGTGAATGGGCCACCTTCTTGGCCAATGAAGAAGAAAGCTGGCCCTCAAAAGACGCATGACGATGCAAAAGTGCAGCAAATGCCTCGATTTCCTTTCCGGCACGTTCTTTTATTTGCTGAAAATTTGGCACTAGAAGAGAAGTGTAAGCAGTAAACCTTCTGTAATTTCACAAAGCTCCATGCACACCGACCCCGATCACCTGGCGCAGAAGAGAGTTGATTCCAGCCTCTGCGTGTTAATTTTGCTACAAATCGTTTCTCTTGAGACACTAATGTGCACACTCTATGCATGTACTAGTGCTCTTTACGAATGTTCTCCTGTTTCAAGTAAAAGGCTCTGTCACGAAGTTAACACATACGGAGCGGAATCATCTAGAGCTAGATTACATATAAATACGACTGGTGGTGCTAAAACACATTTCCAGGCTTTTTTTACTACCGTGCGGCTGAATTTCAAAGTTGTTTCGAAAGATAGAAAGGTAATCTAATTTCAGAGCATTAGGCATTATGATAGGACATCAAAGGGAAGAGTGGCTACGGGACATACGTGTGTGGTCGGGTACCTCCTTGGGGCTGGGCAACTCTAGCGCCAGGGCTTCCAGTTCGGCGTAATGCCTTTGAAGACGTGGATTCGCTACCAGGTCTGGATCGTAAACGACGGACATTTTTTTCACAACCGCCTTAGCAGCATTTACTTCGTCCGCCCCGGTTAGAAAGGGTTATCAGTTGGAATCAGACGAGGATAAAGCAAAAGGCAAATCCAACCAAGCACTCGTTGGTGCCGCGGTGTAGTCGACCTGGCCTTTGGCTTGCGGGGCGTGGTGTCACAATCGACCCATCAGAATTTCTAGACTGGCGTGTCAAAGTGCTTTGTTGAAGAATTGTTTTGATATGTGATTAATGGACTCAGACAAATTTGAGGGAGTTGTTAGAGGCTATTTTCTTGTACTTATTCAGTACCCGAAAACTATCAAATAACGCAAAAGAATGTGGTTGATTGCCCTAGCACATAGGAGCTATGCAACATTCAAAGAATTACATTAGTTGAATAAATTACATAAACACGAAGCAAAACACCTGGTGCGGATTTCGGTAATGTCAACTGCCTGACATCCTCCTGATAGGGAAGGTGGACTAGGTGAAATCCCGAGCTTACAATTTGAGAGCGGTTTTCGTTCAGCTTCTCCGCCTGGAAAAAAAATAAAAAACGGCAGAAACAAAAAAGGTACTTTGAAATGAATAGGCGTGCAGGTTGGTAAAATCACCTGTGGAACAAGCGCAACCAAGCGAGGAGGCATGCCCCGACGCTGCACGTAAAGCGCAATTGCGAAAATCTGTCTCCTAAGACAAACAGACAGAAGAGTCGTGAACCATAGGGTACTGCCCTTCGCTAGTCCCTCATCCGGGTAGACAAACTGAGCTGCTCTCAAGTGATACCACGGCTTCAGTCTCTTGAGCGGCTTAAACCCGAGAAGGTGGATGCCTAAAAACCAACTCCAGTGTCATGTTGGCGACGTCAATAAACAGTAAGTCTTATAACTTGAGACTGGGAGTGATAACCACAGGTGGCGTTGTAACGAATCGACAAAAAAGACTTGAGTCAATGGTGGCTAAAAGGTGTAAACAGAGACAAGCGGACGATCAGACACTTACCAACAGCCACGAATTGCCTTGAACGACCAGAAAGTTCGGCATTTTCAAAATAGACCGTGCGACTGCCTGCTCGAAGCCCTTTTACGAGGTCTTGAGGTAGGACAATGTTTTCAGGGTCCGTACAGACACCTCGGTGTGGATGAGCATCGTTGCAAACCTTGTAGTATCGACGTTTCACCGTGACCAACTCATTTGCTGGTGCAAACAGCCGTACCTTGACGAGTAGCAATTCAAAAATTGATCATGATAAGTCTTTACCACCGTGAGCCTCCACAAAACAATCGGTGAAGCAACAGGGATTCTTGAAATGGAGCAACTTATTATACACCAGCCAACTTTGGCATTACGATTAACCTGCCTCGGCTTTGGAAGCAACTCGATCACTTGGTCTCCAATCATAGTTGCCTTTTGAAACTATGACTGTTATCCCGCAAGTTGGTCCCAATTTGGCATAATGCAAAACTTGAGGTATCGCTGTAAGACCACGCGCATGCTTCGTGACTAGAATGTCTTTACCGGATTCTCAATCAATGTTCAAAAGTTACTATCGAAAATATGCAGCAAAAGTTTTATATATTTAAAAAAAGAAATTGCTGTGCCTGGTAAAAAATTGGTATAAACAACCTATCAAGTATGGAAAGATAAAGACAAGTGGGCGCGAATGTCAAAACCTATAATTTTCTTTGAATTAAACGGAAATTAATACTTTCCGGATAAAATTAGAATCCTCTCCAGTTATAATAAAAACAGTATTTGACAATTTTGCTGAAACATTCATGGAATTAGATTGAAGTCCTAGTTCAGAAATAGGCTGAATCTACGAAGCCTACCATATTATGTTTCGTTTAAGTGTAGTGACGATCACACCAAGTAGGAATTGCTTAATTCCACCGGAGGTTGGAACAACGCGTATACGCAGTGTGCAGTATTGCGGACGGTATACTTTTAACCAAAACATTACTGGCTGGAATGTGACGAGAAAAGTGGCCTCGGAATAAGTCCTCAACAAAACGACTATCATCTACAACGCTGTTTTCACTTATCCAAACGTTTGAACTGAGAAAACAGAGAACACATTAGCGAGTGTTAGTGTATACGATCTTTTTAACACTTACATGATAAAACTATGAATGTTATTTATTAACTTTGGTTCTACATTATTGCTAGCAGTTAAGACAAAGGCTTTATGCAGCGATTTATGCAAGAATGCACACGAACCGGTCTGGGGCGCACGGCGGGCCGCACAAGGCAGTAAATCGAGACACCGAAGGCGAGAGCATGACTCGGCTCCCCCTCAGTGGTCAACGCCTGGGCTGTTGAAGGGACCAGAAAGAACGGCAAACGACTTGCGCGACGACGACTCGGCTCGAGAGAACTTCCACTGAAATTCAAGGGGAGAGATTGCACGCCTGTATGAGATCCAAGTTGGAGAAATGAGTTAGATCTCTATCTCCTGCTGTCCCATTGAATGGGATTTTAACTGATTTAAAAAAGACTGCCGTTGCATTTGAAATCAATGTAACTTCAGGATTGAGATTTAGTAGGAGTTGATGAACGGTAAGTTTTGTAAGTCAAAAAGCGTAGGACGGGACTTACTGAGAGAGCAGATCGGCGATGCGTTGAGTAAGATTTGTAGGAAGCGAATCCACGTCAGGTTCATCATGGAGAAGTTGCTAGATAATTTAAAGTGAATTTACACATCCCCTAATTTGAAAGAGTCGTCTCCACTATGTCCTTTAACTTGTCCTTGTAGACGACATGTGAGTACGATCCTACGTAACTTAGATGATTTGATTTAGGACGAAATTCACGCACTCCGACTTAAGGGGGAATAATTAACTTCGGCTCTTTTGTGCGTTATCCATTGTGGAAATAAACACAGAAAACTGTGCAGCGAGTTCGAGCTTAGGATTGCTTGAATAAGCATAAAAGCACCGAGGATAAAGGCATCCTACCCCATAGAATGTCTCCATACAGAAAAATTCACGTTCACGTGAAACAGGCAACACCTCAAGTTCGATTCCGCTCTGTCGCAAATCAACCGCCTTTAAAATTGCCTGACGCTGTAAATAGAAGAGCAAAGTAAATGATCAAATAATCTAGACACAGGAAAATAAGTAATATCGAATGTTATACCTGCAGTTGGGCTTTATTTCCAACTGGATTATGGTCGTCTGTGAACAACCAAATGCGTTTGTAGCCTAATGAGAACGATCTAAGAGTGTTGAAAAATAACATGAAGAAATTTAGGCAAATAAAACCGTCTTTTTCAGCATAGCTGAATGTTTTCAGAAAAAAAAACTTCGAATCCCAACGCGTACTACCACGTAACTTCTTGCTAGCCCAGTTACACAGCCCAGGCGCTGGAAACCATGGCCTCTAGTCAAAATATTTTTGAGGGTAGATAGCCTGAGCACTGGCTGGGCTCCAGTGCGTTCTCGTAAAATAATGCCTCTAGCAATGTGTATAGATTTGGTTGGAAAAGATTCATGGTATCAAGCGAATCATCAGCAGAAAATGCATCACTCGAATTCAAGCATTTTAAGAAAATAGTTCATCCATATATTTACACTTCCACCATTTGGAACGTTGAAGTACTAATAGATTACAATCGGTAGGGAACAGGCTTGTGATGTGAAAACGTGTGGATACGACATATTACTGATAAGGGAACGGGGCGCTGAGATTGTCAGTATGGTCTGACGCAATGGTGTCGGCAAAAAGGACACCTTAAAACAACAAGACTGGTACGAAGATAATAAATAGGAATAGCATGATTTGGTTGAATAGTAAATTTAGAGAAGGCTAGAATAAAACCCTGATTAAGACGCTCAAGTTGCTATGATTACGAGAGTGTGAGGGGGAGTGCTAAAGCGCAAACCAAGGCCTCTTTTCTGCCATAACGCGAGCAGCACTTGTGATAGTTTGGAAACTTTACACTTTGCTAAACATTGTCTGGCAAGCCCAAAGCGCTTCGTGAACAGGAAAGCTTTCTTCTGCGGGAAGACTTCCATACACTTCAGCAAACTTCTCTGAGGACATCTGACGAAGTTTTCTAATTTCCAGAATACGTGGCGCATCAACGAAGTTCAGGTTCTGCGAAGCGAAAAACGAGAATGCAACGCTTTCGGTCAAGCTTTAGTATAATTCATAAACCGGCTTTCAAGAAAACACATATCAATGAGAGTAATCTCCCTTAATAAGCTGCTTGGATAAACAAGGTCCGAAAACAGGAATAAAGTTTAGGAAGTCTGCGACAGAATTACCTGGACGGTATATATACCACTGAAGTCCGCTGAGGATGAAGTGCCCTGCAAAGCAAATACATAAAGCGAAAATTAAACTGTTTATTCGCATCTAAAATCGATACCGCTCAGCTTCAAAGAGGCCCTCAAAGTTACGAATCACACAACACACATCCTGGGGGTTCCCCTGATATTTGCATAGTTCTGCTAACAAGTACCTTCGAAAAATACCGCAAAATAACAGTGGTCTGAAGGGTCCACGAAATGCCTCAAAAGGTGTAATCCGAATTCCTTCTTAGAAATAATGTTTGTCCTTATAAAATTCTCCCCTGTTATACGACATTAAAAAGTTGTAGAGGAAAGCTTCAGGTTTGAGACATCCATATTCGAGTAGTGTAAATCTTGGACTCAGTGAACGCGTAAACTTAAATAGGTACTTGGGATAAGTTTTTGACGATCTGATTCGAAACCCACTAAAGCTGAGGTCTGGAATAAAGGCTGTGGGAAAAGAAACGGGTGAAATGATACGCAATCTTACCACTAGAGAAAGTGAAGTTAACTTCATATCAGTACTAAAAATACGACGATAGACGGTGTACCCGACACGCCCCTGAGTCACAATGCCTTTTCTGCATCTTCTTTGCAATTTGACCAAGGGGATCCCTTAATATGTGAAGAACTATTTAAAACTTATGTTTAAACGCCGTGTCCTCGTAAGACTCTTTTAACTAATATTTAAAAAAACCCAATGTTTGTAGGCACCATACTTTTTAAGAGCTAAGTGAAAAATAGTTTTAGTTGAGTGGTTGGGGGGCATGCCAATTTGTTAACAGCATGAAGTTAAATCGGAGAGTGTCTGGCATGTGGTTGCAAGGATCCTCTTGGGTGATCATTGGCGACCATTGTGGTGGGGCGTGATCGATTTAGCGAGTGTGAATAAACGCGACGCACAACAGGACTATAGGGTTCCCATACATAAATAATGTGGACTAGTCTAAAAAATGCATAGATAACGAAGAATCGTAATTTATGGAAAAAACTCACCGTCCTCATGAACACAACACCACTCATGTCACCGGCACTGCTTACGGCTTTGTTTTTCATGAAGATCTCACAACATGAGAGAGCAAGTTTTAGACCTGTTTCAGCGCCCTCTATGGAAAACGCTTCAGTCAAATTGTCAGAAACCATGGTGGTTGTACAATCTAACAGAAAAATAATACCGTCTCGTGCCTTTGGTGCCTAGATAAATGAAAAACAAAATGCAGCCAAAAGACGACGGCCTTAGTCGTCCATAAATATAAACTGTTTTATCTTCGTGATCGTGAGACTCAACTTTGTTCAACATCAACGAATCTTCAACCACGCGAATTAAATCACCAACTTGACTTTTTTCGAATACGACGGTTCATTCGAATGTGGTACGTGTTTATATTCTACCCTATAAGCCAACTCCGACAGAACAGCCAACGTTCAACCCCCACAATTCAAGGACTTCCAAGAAGGGCAAATCGGAGACCTGAAGATGATGGCTTAATTGCTTGAAGCAACTGAACAAAGCCTATGTGTATGAAATAACGCACTGGCTGTTAAAAAAATAAACGAAACATTATACACGGAGACGCGTTAACAACGTATCGAGGTACTTTATTTTAAGTGCTTGTAAAACCAGTTCCACTAAAATAATAGTTTATATTTAATCAAACCGTCGATGACATCGGTTAACAACAAAACTGCAGCAACAGTAGCAAACATCGTATGTCTTCCTTGTAAAGAAACTTTATTAGCTACTCACAACCATAACCACCCTCAGTTGATGTGGTAAATTGCTTTGTGATCTGACTTACCCGTTCAGACATTCCCGATTCATCGTCATCATCTTGAAGGAAGTCAGGGGATGAAATATAATCCATTCAGACAGCTAAATAAGAAAACAGATGGGGTGCAGATCAAAGCGTCGATAAGAATACATGCAAATTTAGGGTCCCCATTTTTGTCTTATTGATAAAATAGCCCCGAAAAAGGAACAAGAACCTTGCTTGTCAGTGTGCCAATAAAACGAACCAAGTAGGTATCTTGTACTAAATGATCCCAGTTGCGTAATGATATGATACGACGCACTCGGGGAAGAATAGGGATATCAAAAGACGATGAATTCTCAGTCGTTTATTTTATCGATAAGATCGCAGTCATGTTTGCCATCTGTATGTGTGTGCTTATAGTGCATGAGTTCGAGCAGAAGGGTGCCTATTCTACTGGTGTACTAGTATAGGGGATTAGGAGGGTTTGCTTATGCATGCAGGAGTAGTCGTCCAGGCTAAACATCAGAGTTCATTGAGGATGGACAGAGGTGGGGCAAAGTGCTTCAGCAGGGACCCGCAGAAGATAAACATGGGAGCCAGTCATTCGTAGACCGTGGTGTGGGTTGTGAATTTACTCTACTTATCATAGTCTCTCATCAGAAAGGGGGTGCAACATAAACACAGGACTGCAAAACTGTTTTTCCAGGCCATGACAAACAATATATTAACAGAAAACTGGACGTGACGCCATGTGCGCCCCGGACATATAGGCGAAACAGGAATTTACCCGTGCTCGCTGACAATGTCAGTGCAAATAGAGCCTAGCACCGCACGAAACCACATTCCCCTACACTTCCAATAAGGTGGCTGCTGTTCCTCATCAACATACATTGAGTAAATCAGTCTTCAATTCTCAAGTGTAAATACCATTTCCTCAAAGTCGTTCGATTGGGACCTATTGCTGTGGCCGGTTATCCTGATAGACACTTGGCTACCTAATGTAAATAGGCGCTAAACAACTGCAACGACGTGTCTCGTGCATTGCCTGGAGTCAAAATCAGTCTGCATTGCACGATAGTCCAAAATAATAATTCACGCGTCGAGCACCTCCACTTCCGTTAGTAGTCAGAGGATGCATTTGTACTTGGTGCAATGCATTAGCTCTGCAAAAAAAGTATCACAATACCACAGAGCACAGTCAAGTGTCTAAACAGTTGCAGAAATGCGCTAAGACACTTTACTAAGCCTGATAACCTGACCCAGTGATTTGAAGCAGTGCATAAGCTCGAAAAGTGAGTACGGTTTTTGGAGCCCCAAAAGAAAAGATTTAACAAAGCAATCATGATGTTCTTGCAAAACCCCGACTTCTTATTCAGAAACAAATTAAATCGCTGGCGGAAACGACTTATGACAACCAGCCATCAAGCGTTGATTGGTGAGTGCGTGAAGACGGGCCACACGCACATTGGAATGCTGAAGCTAGTACAACATACATGAAACAAAACTCAACTATTGAGATGTAAATAATTTTAACGCATGAAAACGATCGTAAGCAAAAGGAGTTGCGGTAGTGGGAAGTGGCATTGATAAGAAGGAGAATCTGGTTATTCCTGAAGGAGACCGAGGGCCCTGTGGTACCACTTGAGTACTCGCATGTCATGAACGAGATCCCCTATGAGACAAAAATAGAAAAAAAAAACACTCAACAGACGAAATGATCAGGCCCAACAACTAACAGTCACCACAGAGTGGGTCCCAGAGAAGCGAGAATGTCTTGTTCGACTACTTTTGAATGAAGAGAACTCCCCGAATAAAAATTTTGCTTCAAGACTGCTTCAGAATACTGCATCTGATAAACAAATAAGAAAAAGATGTTGAAAACATGGAAAATGATGGTTTGGGGCCTGGAAAGTCAGATACATTTTTTTCGGCAGAGCGACACAGGGGACAGTAATTTCTGCTATCGGAGGTGATGGAGGCTAGCTGGGAGCAAGATCTCGAAACACTGTCCACGTGGTCACTCTGTCGGTACCTTGAACCAAATCGACTTAGAGTTGTTGGGAGAAAGGTGCGTCCAACAAATCGCAAGAGCATCACGACTAAGGCACTGTAACTGCGACGTTTCTAAAAACTGCAAAAATAGCTAAGGCTTTTAGCGACAAAAAGTTTTGGAAGCACTAAAAGTTACCAAAGTTCCAATATGGCAAATTTGCGATTCGGTGATAGCAGTAGGTTAGTCCAAGCAGGTAAGGATTGTCGCAGACAACAAAAAGCTTACGCTTATCATTAAGGATGTAGTGCCGTTCGCAAAATTACTGGTAAATTGACTTTGGGTCAAACGCCTCAATTTTGGATCAAACAAAAACAACCTATACTGACTTAAGACCAAGGAGACAAATAATTGGTGTTAACCAAGACTTAATGACAAAAATTTCAGCTTAATAGGTGATTTTTTCGGGATGCCATCAGTTGCCTAGACCAAAACGACATATCTACCAATAATAGCCAAATATACAGGAGTCAATTCTATAAATTTCTCAAAACCGAAACTAGAAAGAGCTCCATGTAAGCAACATATATCGGTCCTACATAACCAAGCAGGTGTTACATTTTTAAACTTAACAGATCGCTTCACATAAGTTGGG